GCTATGGGCTAGGCCAGGTGGGAGTAAATGAATAACCAGACCAGTCTAGACGGCTGAAAGGACATACGGACTAGTCAGAACATAATGCTCTGGAATATCTTGGACCAGTCCAGGCGGGTAAAAGGACATACGGACTAGTCACAATAGATATGGAAGACGTATTAGACTAGACTTGACGGGTATAGCAGACTTTTTGGACGAGTCATGTCGCCCGTCCTCCCTATTTTTTTGCTCACTTGGGTTATGATCCACTTTTTAACAGGTCAATGACATACAATAGCATCTTTGAAAATTTGAGTTACCTAGAAAAGCAATATATTTAGATGAAATTACTATTATATTTATCCAGTTCATCAATTGTTTTAGGATAGCAAACAGTATATTAATGTGTTCAACATCGTACGTATTTATGCCGCCACTTAAATAAGCGGGGAAAAATCATTGAAAAACAGAATAGAAGAGAAATACAACTTGACATAATACTTTACATATTAGCAACTAAAATAAAAAGTGTATACTAAAAACTTAAACGGAAAATTCTCTGAATTATGTTTTGAAAATTTTTAGCAGTACAATCGCAAAGAATAACTCTGATTTTCTTTTGAATATTGTTTTTAGAACAATTTATAAATGAAGATGCATGTTTATTCAATAATATAAAGATTCAAATATTCACCATTTAATCAGTCATTTTTCAGAGAGAACCAGCTGAATATTTGACATAACCTTTTATTATGATTCCAGGGTATTTTTCTATCTATTCGCTCTTTTCGAAGAGTTTTCGAAAGAAAAAAAAAGATGTTCTCTATCACCGTCGACATAATGTGTCTTTTTTTAAAATCTTGGCTGTCTTATATTAATGTCATATACAACAACTGTCCATATTGAAAACAGCTTTTCACACGTCTTGAGAGTTTTCCTTTTTTTTTCAAACATTTTACATAGAAGAATATATATAATTTAATAATTTTAAGTAGTGAAATGTTTCGTGAATCGAATGATTGAATTTATCAGTATTAGTAACACTGTGATAAGAACAGACTATCGAGAATACATAAGAAATAATTGTTTTTAACAAATAAAACTTTTTACTGTCAACTTGAATTTTTTATTTTTTCGTGAGAGAAGTTGTACTTTTTCAGTGAAGGAAGATTGATTTCAAAGTTGAGAAATTTTTGTCTAACACAATCAAAAAAAGATAAGAAATGGCACGTCTGTCGTTTTTACGAACACTGTTCTTAATTCAAACACTCAACGAAAAAAGTTCCTAATAGGAACACTTCATGTAAAATCAATAAAATAATAGATAATTTTAATAAATAAGCGTTTTCTATATCTCACCTGGAAAATTTCGATGTGGTTCTCGTACATAAAATCTTTCTTAATCGATGTTAAATTAATTTCTAGCGATTCGCAACAAACGAGCTACTCCTTTCATATGTCTAACATTAATTAAAAACGACCACATTATTGTTAAATTGAAAATATTGCTATTGGATCAGTATTCGAAATTCATGAAAAAATATAAGATATTCTGCTGAATCTATAACTAATTCCTTCTAAAATATACTTTTTTTTATCAAAAAATCGCTCGCCAACAATTTCAATATAATATTGCGAGCAATCTCATGTTTTAGATAAAGTTCATTGACAACATCTTTTTCCAGTAATAAAAATGAAAAATGATTTCATTGATAAAGCTATAGCCTTATTGTTTATTCGAAAGTGATGAAATTTTTTATCAATTATTATTCTACTGAGAAAAAAATCGGAATCATTCAAATTATAAGCGCTTCAAGCGATATCACTATACTGGCTTTCGACCTAACTTAAACAAGATATTTCAAGTGCGTTTTCTTGATATTCTATTTTAATTCGCTGAGTTTTGAGACTGAAAGAATGATAAATTTCTCAACATATAAATTTTCTATAATCAGATATACAATCTTTCTCAAAATACGATGCTAAACAAAATTATAAGCCGTTCTGGTGATTCATAACCTTTTCGTTCGTCACTCTTTTATGTTGATCTGATGAATTCTGATTCAATAACGATATTTATAATTCATCAATAATTTGTTTCGAACCTCTAGAAATAAATCTAGCATTGATTAAGACATATTTTCTGTGAAGAACCACATCGAAAATTTTCTGTTAAGATATAGAAAATATTCATGTATTACAAGAAAATTATTTCTCATATATTTGACATGATTTGTTCCTGTCACACATACTGCTACTAATAAGGATGAATTCAATGATTCTCAAACTACCGCTAATTACTTATTTTTTTCCGAGATAATGAATGATTTTTATACTATTCGATTCACGAAACATTTCACTATTGAAAAATATAAAATTATGCCTATCCTTCTATGTAAAATTTTTGGAAAAAAAAACAAAACTCTTAAAGCATGTGAGAAACTGTTGTTAATAGGGACACGTGCTGTATATCATATTTTTCTATTCATCTGACTTAAATATATTGAATAATTGACTAGTTCTATTCGAAAGACATTTGAATATGAAAGCGAAATCAGGCATATTTCTTTTTTCTTATTATTAATATTCCTACTTCCATGTCTACACACTTATTTGAAGATTTAGCTTTCGATTCAGTAATCTCGCAAGGACAACTAGATCACTTAAATTTTATAGTTCATATTACAGATATATCGATATTTGAAAGTATATTATATATTTAATAAATTATTTAATTGATAGGAATTCCTTGAAATAAATTTTAAATAATTTTTAGAATTTTTTTCTGAGTTTTTTTCTTTAGGGACTGAAAAATAACGCTTAGAAATGTCTAAATTTTAAAAGAAAAATATTGTGAAAGATTTAGTATTCTGATTTCTTTTAGAACACTTCAATTTTCGAAAACTTTATATTGATTGATAGTACTCTTCTCGATCGAAATATGTTAGTTTTTGGAAATAGCCACCGTAGCAAAATGTTTCAAGTGATAGTGAGAGAGCGCTTTGTTGAAAAGTTAGAATAATTAACTCTTGAACGTAGAATAATAAACACTTTTTATGAAAGAGTAGAACAATAAACCATTAGTTACGCAAAGCAAAACGTTTTTTGTGAAAAGACACAGGTATGAACCTTTCATCGCAGAATAAAAAAACCTTACCATAAAAATTACAACCATAAACCCATAACCGTAGAATAAGAAACCCTTTTTATGAAGGGTATATTGATGAACCTTTCTTTTTCTCCGCATAAACCCTTTTTCATTTAAAATACCCTTTTTATCAAATACCCTTTTTCTCAAAAACCCTTTAAGGGTTTAGGAAAATTTTCCGAATGTACTAGGGTTTCTTATTCTACGAATTTTTTTTACAGTGTACATGGTTCGATAAAGAAGTAGTGACCTCGTTTCTGTAGTTCATTTTCATTGATGTCGAATCTCGATTTGTTCAGTTCTCAATGTTTATTTATTTATCTGAGTTAATTAACCACGAATCGATAAAATTAGAAACAAAAAATTCTAAAAATCTGAGCTCGGATTCGGATTCCCCGACCCCGATTACCTCCGGTAGACCTTTTTCCAATAGCCGGCGCTGAAATTTTCATTGGTTTAGTAGATGCTGAAATCTGATTGGTTTATGAAACAAACATACATACAAACTTTAAAGATATTTAAGCTGCGTATAATCCTTTCTTTCAGAAAAGGGAATAACTAAAACAAATTATTCTCTACAAAAAAATCTCATTATAGAAGGAAAAAAAGCGTGACGTTTAAATCAAATATAAACTACTCAAGCATTTTCACTGAAACTAAGCAACCCACCATGTGTAGAGTAAATAATGTTTCTTCTCGTTCTCTACATGCAATTTTTTTAAATAATATTCATTTGAGACTATAGTCACGATCAACTTGTTTGGAATTCCCTTGGTAATCGTGCTTGTTTGTGTATTGTTTAAACAAATCTCTAGCTGAGTTACTTGCATCTTCAATACATACCCCTTTATGTCGATTGGCCCATACATCTCACTCTTTCTTGCAAGGTCTTCACTTCATTTTCTACACGCGTTACGTACATTCATGCATTAAAACAAAAAGACTGAAACAGAACAGAAAAAAAATTGAAGCATATATCAGAAATTCAATTCACAACCAAATTATATTCTATTGCTCTCAGTGTAGTTTGAAACTAGCAATCGCATCAAGTGTTTTTTATTCAAAAAGTTAAATTTAAAAATATTTATCATGGCACAGTGGAAAAGTACTATATATTGCCATGCAGGCTACTTATTGATATTCTCTTTAGATATTTCTCTATATTTTTAGGCGGATTATGTAGCTGTTTTGATGATATGTCAACATGTCTACTTGGATGTATCTGTCCTTGCTATTTATTTGGTCAAAATGCCGAACAAATTGATGGATCAAACAAAATTACCACGTGTATAATTTATGCATTGTTAGCTGGGTGTCATATCTGTTGTTTTGTTCAGAAACCTAAACGAGCAGCGCTTCGTGGTGCTTACGGGATCGAAGAGGCGCCAAATGATTTACTTGTTACATGCTTTTGTAGTGCTTGTGGCATTTGTCAAGAAGCAAGAGAACTGCGTGAACGAGGTTTGTCACAAAATAATTTGCTAATACTATTTTCTAATTTTTGTTTTAATTAATATTAGGTGCAAAACCTGGTGTACCAATAGTTGCTTCTCAACCGCGTTAAACACCATAAATAACACAAGCAAAGTATAGCAAAAACACGAATTATGATGAATATTGCCTTCCGTTCTTTTTTCTTTTCTTTCTTTTTCAATTTAACTCTAATGAAAATAGATCGACCTCTTTCTTGAGGATGTGTGCGTAATGTAACAGAGTTCCTATAACCGAAACGGTTATAGGTTTCATTGATTTTGGACTAAAATTGCATGATCATTCTAGCGACATATTGATTAGTTAAAAACGTCCTATGCTTTGTCATCAAAAGGTGGATGAACAATATTTTTGTTGAATGAAATTTAAGGATTTTTCTCGAAAGAGACGAGTACGATATTTGAGAGTATGGATATGTTTAACCTAGCAACTACTATTACGATTTCATTACGATTAAAACAATCGTCAAATGATTTTGTGAATCTGTTTGAAACTGATTATAAGATCACAAACAAGATACTCAATCTATTTTCAATGTGTGCAGTATGTGCGTAGATCAATTCAAAAACAGATCGATTTATCTTCTAAAGAAAAGACAAACCAATCTGATAATCTCAATTCTTGCTTTTGAAGCATTCAAATTTGTCGAATTTTCAACTAAATCATTAATTTATGTGCTTGATTTAGAATAATAGAACAAATGCAGAGTCTTCTTTCGCCAACGCTTTTCGTGTTATTCATTTATTCAAGTATACTGAAACACTGTTCAGGGTTCTGTATTCGAAAAACACAATTATGAACTGAAAGAATAAGGATGTGGGTGTGTGATATGTACCCAGGAGATTCAGTCCGACCTACGGATCTTCCAAGAAACGACCGGATCCGGTATCGGATCACACCGGAATCCGACGAGTTCCACAGTAAAACCAGCCGGAACCGATCCGTATTACTCCGGATTCGTAACTAACGGATTCCGGCCCGGATTACGCCGGAAAAGGATCCGATCGGATCCTGTCGAAGCCGATGATCGGAATTCCCATGTAAAAATAAATCGCGAAAAATCTGATTAAATTTGATTTTGTTCGGAAAATCGATTAAAACAACTAATATTAGATTACTTCCCCATAAATAATCAATTAAAAACGATTTTCATGTGCAATAATCAATTAAAATCCATTCTAATCAGAAAAATCTAGATAATCGTCTAGAAATTAAATCTATTTCAATCAGTATCTCATTAAATAAGAAACTGGTATTGGTACAGAAAATATCGACTGATCTTGTAGCAATGTGTCATTTGTCACAAAAACAAAAATTANACAGAAATCTATTATTCCGATTTCTTCATCAAAATAGGAAGTGGCTATTCAGAAGAACATTGTTTAATTTAAGAGTACATTTCATACTATCCAATTTGAGCGCGAATCTGATCGAATGGATAACAAGTTAGACAATCATGAATTATGTCATATGTTCGAACCCAGGTGACAACAGTAAGTACATCACTTAATTAATTATTAATCTATGAAAGTATATATATATATATATTCGATCTGAAACGCAAACTGAATTGGAATAATAGCAAAATAATGATTGTGTAACATTTAAAATACTTTTTTAAAAATAACCTTTAGATGTTTCTCTCACTTGAAAACGTATTTAAAAGGGTTTATTAAAGGGTTTATGGCAATTTCACATACGGAAAAAAGGTTTATGAAAGGGTTTAGTATAGTTTTAAATACGGTAAAAAGGGTTTATTATACGTTGCACTTTCATCAACCCTTTTTGGGTTTCTTATTCTACGAATTTTTTTTACAGTGTATACTATGCTTGCTTTTCTCTCTTTGTGCAACTTGTTAATTGTAGGCTACACTGTCCCTTTAGGACCGACATGGTCAGAGGGTTTAATTTCGCATAATACAAAAAAAATAGACATCAAAATAAGTAATCTTTTTTTATTCTAAGCATATTCTTCTTATACCAATGATAAGTACTTCATTTTTCAAATACCATCCTCAACCCCACGTATTCCTCACTTACAGTTTCACTCGCTACACGAGATATGAAGTACTTGCAAAAATTTATGCAACAATTTTCAAATTCATTCTTTTTGCATTCAATGAAAATAACTCTTGGCAGCGTTGTTATACAACTGCACATACTTGATTCTAGATAACCACAAAAAACTTTTTTTGTGTCAGTTTTCAATTCTGTATGAGTTTGCATAAAGATGGCACGCACACTGTTAAGCTTTTACAATGAGTCTTAGAAAGCAGACTCTAAAGAGACACATACTTGACTGAATTATTGTCACGTAAGTAAAATGCAGCAAATGCGCCGATCAATAATTCCCATACGCGTCCTGCTGGTAAGTAGAACGATGCATAAGTATGTTGAGAGAAAATTTGAAAACGATCATCTGAAATCGATTGTAAATTACCACCCCATTGAGCAAGAAAAAAGCTAAGTACAGTCAAACATGCGAGTAAAGTGATGAGGAAGTTTCTCTTGTTACTGAAGCAGTAGTAAAGTAGTGGAAATATAAGATAAAATTGTTCTTCTACAGCCAAACTCCATGTGTGAACTAGAGGATTCAATTCAGTTAATTGTGAAAAATAACCGTCGTCTTTGAACCAAAAGAAAATGTTTGAAGAAATACTTATAACAGAAATTAATGATTGTCCGAATTCCTTCAATTGTTCAGGCAACATCCAATAATAGGCAAAAAAACTAGTGACGAATAGAATCGTAAAGAGAGCTGGTAGGATACGACGGCAACGTCGTTCATAAAAGCAAACAAGCGAAAATGTTCCATAGTTGTTTTCAGTCTCGATAAGTGATGTGATCAGATAGCCACTAATAACAAAGAATATATCGACACCAACATATCCTCCGGCGCAGAACGTTGTGAAACCAGCATGGTATAAAATGACTGGTACAATGGCAAGTGATCGTAACCCATCAATTTCTTCTCGATAAAGAAGCATTGATATAACTTACGAATGGAATTGCTGTTGACTGTAAAGAATGAGCACCTCACTTTTATCGGCACATCCAAACCATCTTTTTAATACTATCTAGAAAAGAAAGATTCATAAATTGATATGACAAAGAAATACGAACCAGAAATGAGCAAGAGTCTATCTTCTCGTCATGTTCTCGAAATAGCCGACAAGGTGATTACGGGTCATTGAAAAAATCACCGAGTCTGACTAATTTTTTCTTTAGGCTCAAAAGATAAGGTCTAGGCTCAGCTAAGTTTCAAGAGTTCTTTTCATGTCTAATATTAAACTGGACTTTGGTTTGCTGCCTCTTTTCACAGAAATCCAGAAGAGTTTAGTTAGACATTATGGATACGTAGGTGTACTCTATAAATACTTTTAAAAAAATCAGATTCCCTATATTTGAAACAATTGTTTTCATATTTCTTCTGCTGCACATTACCAAAATATCGAGATACATGCATATATATTCAGAGGATGTGTCAAGTACGTTCAACCTCCGTTATGCATGTAGGTTAAATTAACTTTTTAGTAGAAACTATTCTGTTCACTATACAAAAACTCCTAATGAATTGTCTACTGTGACCTGTATGACGTTAAAATAAGGATTGTGATCAGCGATTGAGCAATGTGTTCAAAGAGTTAACGTCATAAGGGGACACCTGTTGGCGCTAACAAATATTAAGCTGAAAAATAAAATAGATTCTGTCTGTTCGTTAAAAAAGAACATTGAATAGTATTGAAGTCAGCTGTATGGTATGATGGCAAATCAGCGAAAGGCGTTCAGCGAAAGCATTTTTAGCTCAAATTTCTTGGTACAGTAAAGCAGCAAATTCTACAATAGCGAAATTTCAGTTTATTTAGTGATATAAAAAAGTGCAGTTTTTTAAATATAGTACTTGAATGAAGAAATCAAAGAGCAGTTGCAGATTTTTTAGCTACAAGCATTGATAAACCGTAAATGAATTCCAACATGAATGATATATGTACCAGTAGACTGTAATATCACTAGCGGACGATTATACAGAAAAAAAGATATCAGATTACAAGTTCTATAACAGAAGAACAAACAGTAGCTACTATACTATAGATAGATCAGCAATGATGATTCATCATCAAACATAGACATACCAATATTATCGAAAAGAAAATTCGGTATTATCTACAACCACTTTTTTCTGCTGCTAATGAAATGTTGAGATTTCGCTATTGGATTTTTTTCGCTCAATCGACATCATATCAGCTGTATTTCTAAAAAGAATCACTCCTCTATGTATTCTGGCGACTCGCAGACTACGCGATAGTTCAGAGCTCCATGCAAATCGGATCCTATTTATCTGAAGCAATCACACATTTCTAGTTTCAAAATGATCAAAATGATGTAGGTGGCAGGAAAGGATTGAAAGGGACATATTGCTTAGCGCCGATGGAATCCCGAGGTATAAGTGCTCAAATTTGACGAGCAGTACTTCAATTAAATTCAAATTTCAAACTACTGCCGAATAAAAAAATTTGCATTTTGCGACATGCAAGAGTAATTGATGTTGAAGAAAAAATGGCTGCGTCCTTTAACGGACACGAAAGAACGCGAAAAAAAGTGATATTGGAGAATACGTCAATGAGGATTTAAAGAATATATCAGATATCCTAATATGTTGAATGAAGAAAAATTTGGAGGCCAATTCTCATAAGATAAAAGTTTGAAATGTGATAGGGCGATGTATATAGACAATACAACTCATTGCTTCTATTTATTTAGTGATTATGTGCAAATCTGTCTTTATTCCAATACTTGGAAGCTTCACGCATATTCAAAAAAGTTCCACTCAAATGATAGTCTGTGCGGAAAATGCTCGTATCTTTGATATTTATAGCTGAAACAAAAGGTCAAGTTAAATCATAATCCAGCTGAAAATATCGAATCATTTTGTTCTTTCGATGCAAAAAAATGCTGGTAAAGCAAGAGAAATTTTCTAAAACGCTGTACTTCACACAGACTTCGCTGATTCTCAAGTTTTGATGTGTTTGGTTAGGGTTATGAGATAAACACATTTAAGGCGTTTACATTTTCCTCTGAAAATATTTTTTAAAAAGATCACGATCATTGTATACATCACTTAAAGTTGTTTCCATTTTTATTAATTTTATCAGTAGTTCGTAGTCACAGAGAAATGTATATCTATGGATTATAGTTATTGTTGGCATAAATTTTACGGAAATTCATCAAGCAATTGACTGTTTAGATCATTTTTAATGCAAATATAGATATGAGAAAAAAACTACAAGAATCAATTGAACAGTCAAGATTGCAGTCATGGTTTCATGATCAATCTAAAAATCTCAAGGATTGCTTTCTCAAAAGTTTCAGAATTGATTAATTTACTCAATGAAAATGGGGCACAAAAAGCTATATTCCAAACTTTTTAAGGCACTTCAATCTCCAACAACCAAACATAAGTAGATTATCCTGGTTTATACTTTTTTTCAATCAATATAGCAACCATCATCTTTTGTTGAGAAATAAGGTAATTTTTGAAGAGATTTGTAACAATAATGCCACGCGATTTCAGTTCCCATACTCAACGGCCCCATAAGTTTAAAGAAGTGAAAGGGTATCTTGTTACATATCTTCGATGATAAAATTACTCTTTCTAATTTTATATAAGTCTACTTTGTGACAATTAAGATCCATTTTCTATTATTCTTTCTAGGTCATAGAATAGGAATAATGTGTTGTCAATAGATATTTTATTATAAAGCATTTATTTATCTAAAATATTTATATAATCGAATCATCTACAACGTCTGTACGACAAACACATGTGAGAATGATGATATCTGTGAAAGTAAATCACGAAGAGAACGGTAAACAAATATTAGAATATGAATATTGTATCTTTTGTGAAAGCTTAAGAGTAATTCTTACTTTCATGACAAATATTGGGTTCATATGAAATAGCATTGGTATGATCAGTTGTAGTTCTGTCGATTCCGATTTTGGTGAATCGTTTCAAATATATTAATAGAGAGGTTTCTGAGTGATGCATACTCTCGAGAAGACACGGTCCTAAACTGTACCACCTTGTCATATAATGATACATAAACTTAATTGGACCTAACACAAGGCCATTGTGTAACGCTGGAAAGTAACGATTTCGCAGAATCAGTAGTGTCACGTTAACGTTCAATGCACCTTTCCTATCGAAATTCGACGGCATTTGGGAGGCTACATCTGCACGAGCATGAATGAGTAATTGATATTTCACATTTGAACGTTTCTCATAGTCCTTTACAAAATGGTAACACTCTGCAATAGCCCATAGCTGTTGAAAGTAGTAGGAATCAGAGTACGTATTATGTCTAGATAACCGATATTGAGGAGGACAGTCAGCAGGAATATCTGTATCAATGACTCGATCTTCATAAAGTATAGTTACTGTTGTGTTTTTGTAAGAGCGAGCTTGTTTCAATCGAGTTGCTAATGGAATCAATGGAAGAGACCGATTAGGCGAAGATGATGAAAGAAAAAGAAATGTATCAATGTCACCATGAAGACGGTTCCTGAGATTAACATCAGTTTGTGCCCATACTTTGTTAATACATTCCGCAGTACCAGTGACACATACTGCTGCTCGTTTCTGAGTGACTGGATTAGGAGACACAGTAGAAATAATGGATGGGAATGAATAACCAACTGAACGGAGATCGGCCAGCCATGCATCTATAATATCGATTTCTTTCGAATGCCAAAAGCCAGCTTGAGCAATATCCCTTGCAAGCTGAGCTATTCTTTTGGCAATTGAAGGTAAAGACGATGACCACGAAGCAAGAAAACGAACAAACGAGCCCGATTGATGGTATAATTGATGCTCTTCATCCATATCTTTGATGTAGGAATGACTATTTCTCACTTGTTTAACAGTTGCTGTACCAAATACGAGACGACCACCAATATCCCACAATAGACGTTGTGCCCAAAAACCTCGCCAAATATCACACACACGGAATGTAGTTGTCACAGGTAAGTAAAGGCCCCAAAATGCTTCATAATGTGTTACCGTATTTTGTGTGTTGTATGGTGAGAATGTGAACGGTTGAAGAGCTATTGGTGGTTGGTCTTGATCGAATTTAATTCTACCGATCGAAAGAGGATGTGCTAAACGATACTAAAACAGTGATTTCTAACTAATCTGCATTTACTCAAAACTTACCAAAGCATCAACATCTGGATCTAAATCGGCAAGATACTGCTGAATATAAGCATGAATCATATTTCCTTGATTGCGTCTCACTGAATGCCACCCGTCTTCAGTGACATTTCTCAATTCATCGACAGGAAAACCTCTTGGCCATATGTGTGGATGACCAAACGAACCATAGATGTTGATAAATGGTGATCGTTGTCGACGAAAGGCGATCCATGGCACAGTTTCTGAGTCAGAAATTTTGGGCAAGATACCAATGTCATTTGTTTCGAGCAGGTTATCGTCGTCCGATTCAAATATGATTCGAGCACCACATGCAATAGCTACCAAATAGCCAATATTTTTTCTTGCGTAAGAACCTTGAGGCAAGTAATTGAGAATAGAATACCCAAGAGACGATTGCTTATCTATGGGTAAGAATAAAATTCGCGAACGGTCAGCATATAAACGAGAGAGCCAATCATGCGGAGTTTTCCGATCACCAATCACAATTAAATTCCAATGAGTAGTCAAATTAAGGAACTTATGAATGGCAAGCGTCGGATAGAAAATGGATGTAATCACTATCCATTTCTCCCCTCGCATGGGACAAACAAAATGAGTGGAAGATTGAGTCCTTGAGAATGATAATTTTATTAGAGCAGAGCTTTTCTGAAGTAACAATGAAGTATCATTGACAAATACTAAGAACACGATGGCGAAGAAAAAGGCAACGCCTGCGACGATTGTAAGACAAACTTGCTTGTTTCGATTCATGGTATTCATTAGAAAAGTAATACAATCCTACAACAAAGACAAAATGCTTCATAGTACTAACTGGTTCAGGGCAATACAATCATTCATAGATAAACTTCGATAGTCTATAGTCGCTTCGATCAAGGGGGAAAAGCTGATTGCAATCAAAGCAATCTTTGCCAATCAATAGCAACGGTTTAGAAAAAAAAGCTTTTTATTAGATACGGTGAAGTTGGTTGCCATTTAAATAGTTATCAGTATAGAAATTATTATATAATCATAATAAATATCATCTTATATTATATACATATATCTGAGTCAATCATGATGAACATTAGACAGTCGATATATAATCTAAGGCGATATTTTTCTTTTATCCGTTTCTCGTCTGTTCGTGTATTCATGTGCTCATGTGACACGATAATTGAGAACGAAAAGTATAAACATATCTGTTTGTTTTTGTTTTCGTTTCATTTCCATCTTTTCACATAAACTCACCCAGATACTGTTCGTTTTATTAATTCCGCTATTTTTAATATGTCTACCCCCGAAAAATTCACAAATCGATACAAAAACACTTCCTTCGAATATCATGGATGTTCGTGACGATACGTTTTACGATTTAATTCGTCAAATTTCTGGAAAGCTAGTCGCAGAATTGCTTGCTTTTCAAGAATGCAATGGAGTTGATTCATTCCTTGGATGTAAAGATGTTACTGTCCAGTGAAAAATTGTCAAATTATGAGATTCGACGAGATTATCATATAATTTTGGGTGTGGGTGTGATCTTCACTTGATACACATTAAGATCTCGTCGACACCCACACCTACACCCGTAAAAAAACGGTATCATTTCTAAATTCTATCAAATGTCAGGCTGGCGATAACAACGCTAATGATTATAATAATGAGTTTTTATTTCCACATCGCCACAAACAGTCTAGGACAATCGATTCTAAACAAATATCATCTATATCATCGACTTCTATCGTAGAATTAACAGTTAAAGCACTCGAAAATACTATTTCGCAAGCGTATTCTTATGCAAGTCGTCTCATATGTCACACAAATATGTATCAACAAAATCAAATCTTATCGCTTAGAAAAATGTCAAAACTGGCTAGTTTTCAACTTCAAAAATCATGAATAGTCAATTATTCACATCTTAACCAACATGATCCAGATTTTGACTCTGATTCAGATGATAGTAGCGGTGAAGAAGATGAAGATAGTACTGGAAATTGCAAAGATAATAAAGATTCAACTGAGGATGACGAGGATTATGTGTCTGATCGTCTTTTCAAAGTTAGTTCGCCTACATTTCAAGGAATGCGAGTTCTTGATTTCATTAATCCAATCTTGGCTATGTCGCACCTTATTGTTAACATTAGTGCTACAAAAAAATATTTACATAAGTAGATAGCTGCTTGGCTGCTTTCAAATGACAAGTCTACTTTGTCTTCAGATCGTTTAAAGTACGTTATGAATAAATGATAAAATCGCTTACAGCTCAGTTGTTCATAATTGAATTTCATCTTTCCTTTTCGATCGACTGCACAGACTTTTGAAAGATAATCTTAGGTAGCACTATAAATTTTAATTAGCTTTTCTATTTCCTGCTAAGAACCTGACAGTAATGTATGTAGTTTTCAGCATGTATATACTCTGCTTTTCTATGAAAAATGACGAGCAAATTCGTCTTATTTTTATGATGTTTCAAGATAGAAACTTATATTAACTAAAAAGGGCTCGAATCGATGATATTTCGATATCAAAGAAGAATCATTATTGACAATCATTGGCAATCAAAAATTCAACTTCCCCCCCCTTGTCTTCGATTTCAGATTTGATCAAAAATTAGAATTTTGAGTGTTTACTACGTTGAAAAAATCGAGTTGCCACACTGAACCCTTTTTGGTTTCGTAGATAAAACAAAAAACACTTGAAAAACTATTATCAGTCTATGAGAATTATTTTCAGGTAACTGAAGTTTTTATGAAACCTTTTGAGGGTTCCGTATTTATTTCGAAAATGGTTCGGTGCACTAGAAAAAATGAGTATGATTACGAAATCCTTTTTAAAATGTGTACGGAACCCTCAAAAGGTTTCATAAAAACTTCAGCTACCTGAAAATAATTCCCATAGACTGATAATAGTTTATCAAGTGTTTTTTGTTTTATCTACGAAATCTGAAAGGGTTCAGAGAATTGACACGATATCGAAACCCTTGTGGGTTCGGTGTGGCACCATTTTGTTTTCAGTGTATAAACCATAGTATTAACTTGAGAAACGAGATTCTCGAATCCAACAAATTTTTTATTGAGATGGATTGCGAAACTAGGTGACATTTTCACACATAATAATAGCAAAAGGAAAATTTTGCATTTTCTTTTTTTACCTTGTTTCTATTGCAAATGATCAGACTGCAGCGTTTTAGATGGTATTTGGGAGAGAGTACTCATTAGATAGAAGCTTCATTTAAATTCTAGATTTAACATATTTTAAATAGGCTGTCATTGCAAACTTCAAATCTTTACATAAGATGCTGAGAATTTATGATATCGAGTAAAGCAATGTGTAAAATATCTCTTTGAGATTATGATACATCTTAAAATTGAGTCAAAGTTGATTTGAGAAGCTCCGAAGAGATCAAAGACGCTTTTTATTGAACTATAATAATGATTTCTGCGCTTGTTCTCAAGCAGGCGAAAATTTCCGAACACACCTTTAAACGTACAAAAAAGACGAAAAATCGAGAAAAACTGGGCGTATTTGGATGACAATTGGGGTTCTCGACTGTGACAGATGAACGTCCATTTTTCGTCCTTCTTGAGCGTTTAAACACGTCGGAAGCAAAAAAAAGCATCTGAATGTATAAAAAAACAAAAGAGAAAAATGGTCGCTCTTTCTTCATATTCGTTATGCGTGGCAGGATGATAATTAGAGTTCTTGAGTTTAAGAAAAGAGAGACCATTTTTTCTCTTTTGTTTTTTTATACATTCAGATGCGTTTTGTTGCTTCCAACGTATTTAAACACACAAGGATGACGAAAAATGGACATTTATCTCTCACAATCGGGAAGCCCAATTGCCATCCAAATATGCCCAGTTTTGCTCGATTTTTCGTCTTTTTTGTACGTTTAAACGTGCGTTCGAAAATTTTTGTTTACTTGGGTATCATGAATGTCCAACAATTCCTAAACATGTAAACTAACGATGAAAATATGAGCATCACGAAGAAGATGTCCCAATTATATTTCGGTGTTTCAGAACACTGGATGGGTTTCAAAAATATTTTGTCGGAAACGCAAAGGATTTCAGTTTCTCAGAAAACGACTTTTATTTAAGTACACCGATGAAACGCATCATCAACAGCTATGGAATCAAATGAGATGCAAAAATGATCGTGAAAGTATAGAGAGAATATCGAATACAATGAAAACAACAATGGTCACATTCCCAAAACTAATAAGATTTCGTGGAAGCTACGATACCTAAAAATGTTTCGAATTCTTTTCAAAATTCGGAACCCTTTCAATTTCGAGAAACCACCACAATATAAAAGATATACTTCGATTTTGTCATACTGAACCTCTTAGTATTATTTTCAGAATCATTATTAGGTTCGAGACCTTAGATAAAAACTCAAAACAATTCAGTAGGACACCTTTTTTTAGGGAGTATAGTGTTCATTTCTTTTTTTTATCCCTTATATATCGATATATTACCTTTCTATGATACTAATGTGCTCGACCGAGAATTTGCCGCTGCCAATGACGTTGAAAAGACAACACAATATGCATTTTTTTTCTTTCATTCTGCGGTTGGCTTGGTAGTGCTTAAACGACAGGAAGAAATTTTTCATTTGCTGTGTTCTCTTCGGATTACTCCAAGCAACAGAAACATAAGATAAAATTAATCTCCTCAAAATTTCGACTATGAGTATATCTGCTTTGTAAAAGAATCTTCAAGTAATGATTGCTTTGTTATCGGATACTTCGAGCAAAAGGAATAGAGGAGAGCTTATGTAAGACAAGAAAGTATTGACTGAAGAAAAACGTTTTTCGGATGCTACCTTCAGTGGTTGAGACATATTTTCATAATTTGTCATCTTTGATAATGGCGATGGTTTGGTATAAGGCTAACACATTTTCCAGCTGATTGATATCTATGATAAATACTAGTGGTAAATAAGTACATGACTAGCTGTGAAAACATAATTTGTTCGAAACGAATCGCGATATTCGCTGAAAAATTCAAATAGTAAGACACTCAGAACTAGATTGTTTGTTTGAGAAATAAAATATAATAGCAAGGGCCATATTTTATTTAGATATCTTGTGTTACCGTTCATATGGAAGTACACTGTATAGAAACCTTTAGGTATTTTATGTGAATTATATTTTGATTAAGTTTTCTTTTTTTGTAGTTAACGTTATGACTGTCAATATGCAAACTATCAGTCGTATTTATTTATTTTCTACCATGATTGTTATTCTATTGATTTTCTTTCTTTTATTGCCGAATTACAAATATATTCTTACATTAAACCCGTCTATTTCTAATAGGTGGACGTCACCATTAACATTTTGGGTAATTAATTTACATGATGGGTGCCGTATAGACACGACCACTCTTCTTCAAGGTCTCGATCAAACAGTAATAATTGCTGATCATGTTCAACGCAAAAACCATTACTTGACAGAATTCACCCGGCCTCACATTTTATTTGCACGAGATAAAGGTCCGTTGGCCCCATTCATGTATTCGCATACATCACATAGTGTTCCACTCTCTGAAAGTGATATAAGAAAATTTTTCAATTATTATAAAACCGATTCAGTTATGATGAGTGTCAATGCTTTTTATTGCTCATTTCCTTCATCTCTGTGCGAAGTTTATATGCCTCTGAATCGAACAATTATTTGGTTGCCGGCACATCGTTTTACACTTGCACGATGTTCACGACCTGAAATCGACCAACTCATTCTACATATGCAGCAATCAGTTAGACCTGAGCAACAACCAAAACATTTTGTTGCAGCAGGTGGACGTTATGATCAGGAATATATTAAGTATTACACAGGATTAGATGCCATATTATTACCGACAAATTCACTATGGTATGCATTTAATGTCACACGTTTTACTCAAGCACGTACGGAAATCTTAGTTGGACCATTACAAACTCGTAATCATCCATTAATGGCTAATATGAAAAATGCTGCTACAGCTTTAAACTCGTCGTTTCAGTTTGCTTCAGCTAAAAATTTATATGGTCATTATCATCTACAGCAAATCGCAGATCATCGTGCTGTTGTTCTTTTACCCTACGCTGTTTTAAGTTATGGCATTACAGAATTGTATGCTCTAGGAATTCCTATCTTTGTACCATCAATTGATTTTATTGTCAAATTGAATCTTGTCAATGACCGTACACTCATCGATCCGTTTTATTGTGGTCGTAGTTTAAAGTTCGATGATATGCCGAAACAACACACAAATTCTCATCATCCATTTTCACCGGAAGATATCGTATCGTCAGAAGCAATCCGATATTGGTTGCAGTTTGCTGATTACTACCAACTGCCATATATTCAGACGTTTTCTTCATGGACAAATCTAATTGAAAAGCTATCAACGACGAATTTCAAGACAGTCCACGATAATATGCATGATGAAAACGTGCGAAGAAAAGTTGAACTAACAAAAAAATGGGAATCCATATTCGCTAAAATCGATCATATGCAACGAGTCATACCACAGGATTATGATACGGCAATTAAACAGCTTTGGAATACAACTAGATTGCAAGCAATTTAAAAGATCTGATATTTGTCAAACCGAATATTTTTCTTAAGTCTACGTGTGAAGTTCTCAGGACGGAGGGAACAATCTGTACTTATGATAAAATACTTTTTTAAGGGATCCTCAAATACGCACATATGATTTAATGTTTGTTTCGTTGTTTGTGCACAATCGTTTCTCTATTTCGATGGAAGCGCTTGTTGATTCTTTTCTGATCTCTCGTCATAATCGAAAAATTTTTAAGTAAAAAATGATTCTATAAAATCACATTTCATTAAAAACCCCGTCAAATGTTCTTTTTAGTCAAGGAATCGCAGTTTCCAATTGGTATGGTCAAAATTGATTACTGTAGTAACTTTTTTTTATAGCGCTTTTGAACTAAAATCCATAGGAAGCTATTTCAAACGTCATTCTAGAGACTAAATGTAGGTTGGGACCTATTTACTTATTCGTATGATTCAATCTAATGTAGCTAGTTGGTATAAGATTTTTCCCATTCATCTATGTTGGCGTACAGCTGTCAGATTCTAAGACGTTTTCAAGATCAATATACTTACTAACATATTTTTATGATATATCAATGAGTCGATCACATTGTTGTGGAACATTAAAGAGATTTAGACCGTAAACACGCTAGACAAGTTATTTCACCGATATTTTCAAATTCGATATACATAGATCAATATCTGAGAGAATTTATGGAATATCACTGAAAGTATAAAAAGATATTGCATAGAAATTTTTCATACTTCAAATGGATCAAAAAAGTGAATCGATATATTTTTCCTTGTGGAAATTTATTCCAGAATTAAATAAATACAGAGATTCTTAGATGAAATTATTTTATCGGTTTGAAAAAATAGCTAATTATAAAAGTGATTTTATATTTGTGATTGTTATTTATTTTGATGCTGTACGATTGCTCCATCTCTCTTTGTATAAATGCAAAAACAAATGAAGAGCATAACTGGAGTTGTTCAGATAACGAAAAAGCATAGTCACACTAATTGGCAAAAACGAAGCATTGAAAATTTAAGAAAAGTTTCTTCATGATGATGATTCAATTTTTCCAACTTACAGAAGAAAAAGAGCTAAATTCGTTGAATGCTATCGTCGATAAATCTAAATAAATTTCGCAAACAATCGTTTATAACGAGAAGACGTTGACAATCTATCTGAGCGATCGACAATTAGAATCAATTCTTTTTTCTAATAATCGAAATATTGTGTTGGATTAAGAAATTAGTGTGATACATTTTTTTACTAATATTATGATAAGAAGTAAACAAACAATTCAGTAAACAAGAGTATTTGTTTTTTTCATCAACAAAATCAACTGATCGTTTTCAAATATTTTTTCTTGAGTTTAAGTATAAAATTAATACAAAATACTTGAAGTGTTTGTCTTTGCTTTCAGGTGTCAAAAATCAATGAAATTTTCCCTATTGGAAAAAACCCAAGCTGTTTTGATTGGATATACAAAAGTATCCAATCGTTGACAACGAGTAGCGCTACATTCGTCGTCAAAATTGAACTATTGAGCATCTTGTTTTATCATTGAATGATTTCTATATCGTTTATCGAGTTTTTTATTTGCAAAAAGCGATATAAATAATATTTATTCGATGAAATATATTTGATTTATTATTATTTTTTTCTATGAATATTAGAGAAATATTTGAACATAATTGAACGCATAGTGCATTATACGAACGATTTATGTAGAGGACCAAGAGTCGGACAAATGTTTCTGCTCCAAGGTTAATAACATTCAACGAAATAACGTTAAAAGCAGCCGACTGTCTATTTGTTCAAGGCAATTGCGCTTGGAATAAAAAAAACGAGAAGACCTGCCTCACATTTATACATACACGGCCGATTACAATGAACGTAAATGGATCCATTCCATTATCATTTCTTCTATTGGCATATACATTAATAGAATGAAAAGGAATGGGGATGTTCAGCTTGGAAGTGACCTTGGTTTAGAAGGCCATCCTAGGTCGTAACAAGGTTGCTGATAGCACAATTCAGCAATCAGCATGAATGTGTGCATACGATAACGATATGCCAAATATCAATTAAATGTTGTGCTGCCGTTCAACCTATGCCTATTCTCTCTCCGATTTTTTTTAGATGTTTGCCCTTAAGACATTTACCAATTTATGTACTACTCAATCAAGTAAATACATACTATCGTTCAGTCTAAATAATAATTTTGCTATTTTTTTCTAGTCTTTCAGCATTCAGTACGAACAGCAAAAGTCTTCAAACCAAATTTACTTATATCGAAACATCGTAATATTAAAGTAAAAGATGGCCAATGGGTTGAAAAAGACGCTGTTCTTACTTTACAAAACAATCTTGTTTTATATCCTGGCGAAAATGTATATATTAATATAAAATAGCTTCTTTTTAAAATTAATTACTATATTAATTTAGACATCTGTCGCCTATGATTACACAATACGATCAAAAGTGCCAGGCTTCGTTGTAATAACAACAGAGTCTGTTAAACCACATCCGCACAGTCCATTGTTTCGTTATGCTAACAGTGGCAATGAGGTTAAACGCAATTTTGTACATGTTTTACCACCACGACGTGAAGCATCTTTTCGACTGATAGATCAAATATAGTAATCACTGAGAAATGATTTTCTTTAGATGGTAGGAAAAGAAAAAAAATAATCATCGTTGTTCATCAATGTTGTTTTTTTCTTCGTCTTTTTGTTGTTGATCTTTATATATATTTATACACGTATAGCTTAATGTAAACGTCTTTGATAGCCTGTGCTAATGTTGTTTTGTAGATCGTCGAATTATATACATCAAATTTTATTTTAGCCCCGATGAATTCATTTTATCAGATGTAATTAATTATGAAACAAGTCATCTATTCGAACAGTATTCATCGTTAATATTACAAAGATTTATAATGACTGTTGTTGTTCAAAGACGTGATCGTTGTCGTATTTGTTTTTCATTACTCTTACGGGATCGTTCGATATGCTGTCAAAAGTCCTATGATCTATTTAAACATCTTGAACGTCGAAAAATTCCATTGCACAAATTAAATTCATTTCAAATTAAAATAAGAAACCCAACTGTCTGCTTTCATGATTTAATTCTACGTTATTTACATACAAAAATTGATCAAACAGAAAATTTTTCGAATTTTATCTGTCATAATTGTTCAATAATATTATTAGATATTGAACAATGCGCAAAATATCTACGTAAAACAGTCAATCAATTAAAAATTAAACTGAATAAATCGAATCGTCTTCGAACATCATCATTATCGGCAACATTTCAAAAGAAAAAACAACAACGAACTCCTATTGTTCATGAAGAACCATTACCGATTTTAAATTCAGATTCCGACGAAGAATTTGATGATATCGACGATGAAGAGGTTTGTTCGATTACGAAAAAAACAAAATCGAATTACTTCTTTTGTATTTTAGGAGTTCGACGACGAACAAGACGAACCGAAACCAAATGATGTTAAACCTGCAAATCAGTCATCACCATCATCATCATCGGGCAGTAATTCGTCATTGAATCTTCCCGCATCAAAATTACATGCAAGTAATAATGGCCATTGCAATGATGACGATGACGATGAAGAGGGTCTAATAAAAAATTCGTCTCCGAAATTGGAACAACAAAACTTAGCCGAATTTATGCATCGGCTACAAGCCAATCCTCTGAATACATTGTCCGGTTCAAATGGTTTAATAACAGCAGGTAATACAATGAATTTAGTTGAAGAATTGAATCCAAATTTGATGCAATTACGCCTTGCTCATATGATGGCAGCTGCTGCTTATATGAATTCAACAAGTGCAGGTCAAAATCGAAACGACAATAATAATAACGTTGATTCAATGATGAATACATTGGCTAATATGCAAAGAAATTTTCTTTTGCAATTCTTTAATGATCCAATGGCAGCTGCTCAAGCTACACAACAAGCTGCTGCTGCCGCTGTTTCAGCTACGCACATGAAAGCTCATATAACGCCGATGTCATTAATGACAACAAATAATAAACAAATTGGAAGTTGTAGAAAACGAAAATCGACACCCGAAAAACGTGTCCTAACAAATCATCGATCATCCAATAATAATGGCAATGTAAGAATTTCTATTTTATTGGATTTATCTTTAATTTTCTTCTTGTATAGGCATCCCCAACAAATGAAAAAGAATCAATCAATAATCACAATACGGCTGATCATCCGTTAGAATTAACTTTGAAAACTTTTCAACAATCGAATTCAACTTTACCATCGCCTGTGAAATCAACAACAGACATTCATAATATTGTGGTATGTTGTTCAGCGAGAAACTTTCCTATTATATTTACTTCATTTTTTTTGCTTTAGATGAATCCCAAGGTCGAAAATGGAAGTCCAATTTATCAACAGAATTATTTAAATCAACATCAAACGTTCGATGAAGGTTAGTAAACATATTGAATACTTTGAAGTGACAAACGACGTTAATGCTGCAGTAAAGAGTAGAAATTTGATTTATTATTATTTTTTTTTTAATATTTAGATCGTAAAGAATCTACGACACCGAATGATTCATCATTATCGCTATCTCCATCATTAATACGTCGTTCGAATAATTCAAAGCGGCAAAAAATATCAACATCAATTCAAAACGATTATTTGAATAATTTAAAACTAAATCTATCTCAAACACAAACAACAGATTTACTCTCACCAAATCATCGTTCGACATTTAACGATGACACAAATTCGACACAACAAAAACAACATCGTAAATTAGATCCGCGCACTTGTATCGAATGCGGTAAAGTTTTGTTCAGTGATAAAACACTTCTGCTTCACTGTCAAACGCACGCTAAAAATGATAAACAATGTTGGATATGCGGTGCGAATGATAACGATATTAAAAAACATATTCTTAACGATCATGGCAATCAAAAATTTACAAATACTGGTTTTAAAGTAAAATTTTTGCAGATTAATTTATTATTGATTTTTGATTCCTTGAATTTTTAGTGTCATCATTGCGAAAAAGTTTTTCCTGTTTATTCTGATCTCGAAACACATACTCGAGAGCATAGCAAGAAAAAAGTAAAATTCAAAGTATATCAATCACACATAGACATCAGAAATCTTCTACTTTAGCCATTCGAGTGTCCAATATGCAACAAACGCTTTGGTCAACAGGGAAATTTAAGTTGTCATCTACGAATTCACAGTGGTGTTAAAGTATGTTATTTTACAATTGAAAGAGAACGTGCACCTATGACCAGGGGTTTTAAGAATTTTACTGAGGATACGAATTGTTTTGTTTTAGCCATTTACTTGTGCAAGTTGCGGTAAAGCATTTCGCCATTCGAATAGTTTAAGGCGTCATGCGCGCACAGTTCATTCAGCATCGCGAGGTTTATCAATGAGTCCCGGATCGATGACAACCATCGGAACATCATCATCATCAATGCGTCTTGCTACTGCAACTACAAGTAATTCAATGGTATCGATGGCCAATGATATGCATCATTTAAGTACAAGTGAAACATTTGATGAGGGTAATTCAGGATTGATGATTCCTTCGGATGAAGCTGAATCATTGCAAGGTCCACCTTCGACATCATCAGCTGGTGTACCATCGCCTTCAATATCTAATGCACAAGTAGACAGTGATTCGCATGAACAGTTTGGAACAGGTTGATCTGTTTTGATATATATATATTATATTTTAATTCGTGTGCATTATCATAAGGTTAAATCTCCTAGATAGCATCGTTCATTCATTCGCAATACGAATTTTGTGTTTGGGCTTCATTTCTACATATACACTAAGGATTTTCCTTGAGTGTATGTATTTGTATAGCTTATTCTGATGTATTAGAGAACAGTATTTCTTATGTAGAATGGCCTTCTCTTCTTTCTAAATGTTTGTAGTGTGTTTATCTCTCATTTTTTTGTTGCGAACAGTGACCCTTCGTGTGTGTGTGTGTGTGTGTGTGTGTGTGTTTTTTCTTCGGTTCTAATCTTGAGCAGTATTTCCCATCTGATTATTATTATTTTCAGTCAGTAGCATCATTTTCGCTAGCGTTTCTATCTTTGATGCCGGTGAATATGAAACATCAGAAGAAGAAAATAAGAAATATAATGATCATATTTTGTGTTTTCGAACAATGTTTGTGTGCAGTTCCGGTGTGAGTTGCAAGTAAAAGAAAAAGAATACATATATAAAGAAGAAATGTTACCACCGAGCGTTTTCCCTATATCTTTTCTCCTAACAGTTTTTGTTTACTCCCGGTCCTGTTTATGGTTTTCATCAGTTTCGTCTATTCTATCTAGTCTCGATATTTTTCTATATGTTTCATTGTGTATACATATATACCTACTTATATATTCTTTTCTTTTTTTTTTTTTTTGGTTAAGGGTTCTATTTTGTCTATGCAACGTGTCATGTGTGTGCCTTGGGATAATCTTGTAATTTTTTGTGGCTAATTTTTGTGTTCGGTTTATTGTAGTTGCTACATTTTTTTCAAGAAAACTAGAATGTTGCTCTCTTTTTTTCTATTGCAACACTAGATTGTTGGTGGTGCTGTTTTTTTTCTTCCTGTTATATATTTTTGTGCGCAAAAAGCGTAAGAATTTTTTTCACTTTTTTTTGTCTCTTGCTCTTCCGTTCATACTACTCCTACAGTTCTACTCGTTTTTTCCTTTGTGTTTTTTCATTTTGTTCGTTTATCTGCCTTACTATTACTATTATCACTATTACAGCTTCTTGAGAATATTTATGTGAAAAACGAGATCGCGTGCTACTATTGCTATTGCTGTTGGTTCGAATAAATTCTAAATCGGAATATATATAGAAACAAAAACAAAATCATTGTTTTTTTTTGATTCAACAATTACAGCAGGGATTATGCAAAGAACAAAACCTATATTTTTAGATATAAAAGTTGTACGGTATAATACAAGACAGATGTTAGTGGCATGATAAGACGAAACAAGGTTAGTAGCGTAATTAGAAAAGCAAACTTCGAGATTATCGGCTAGCCTTTTTTTGTACAGAGAAAGTCTTGCGGAGAGTACTTTCATAAGTGTGCCAGCGATACTTAATCACATGTTGCTGTTCTGCTTCCTATGAAAAAGAAAACTTTCTATTCTGTAATTTTAGTAACTCAACGTAGTTCATACTGACGAAAACTGAACGGAAGACATGGCTTGAACAAGTAGGTTTTACTTTTTTGTATGTGTATACTTTTCACTGAGTATATGCGGAATAAGACAACACATGTTTTTATATTCTAGGATTATTGAGTCATGTTAAAGACTGAAATGTATTCATCTCTATTCGAGTATGAGAAGATCAGCCAGCTACACATGATTGAGAAGCATATCGGAAATATATCTGCCTCTATTACAAATCATTATATTGTGTATCAAATGAAATAAAACTATGAACAAAAAAATTTTTGTCTTTTATCTGTTCAGTTGAATTTGAGATTTATTTTATTTAAAAAACAAGAAAGTTCTGATTTCAAAAAAAAAAAGAAAAGATATCTTCTATTCTAGAAACTTAGTCGTCTAGTTTAATTTTATAGCAATGGCTGAAAATGATATTGGAAATGTCAATAACGAGAGCGAACTTGAACCGGAACAAAAGCGTAAACTTTTTATTGGAAGTTTATCGTATAGTATCGATGAAAATGTATTTCGCGATTATTGGGCACAATTTGGCACAGTTTTGTATGTTGAATCGTATTCTTACTGTTTGAGAAAAAATAATTTCTCTTAGAAATGCAATGATTCTACGCGATCGAGATGGCCATTCGCGTGGCTTCGGTTTTGTTACATTTGATAATTCAGCAAGTGTTGATGCTGTCATGAAAGCAAGACCACACACGTTGGATAATCGAGTTGTAGAACCAAAACGAGCGGTAAAATGAAAACATACTGATTCAATTGTAATAGACTTTTGTTTTTCTAAATTTTAGGTACCACGTGAAGCATCTAGTAAACCCGACACGCAGTTAGCAGTAAAAAAACTCTATGTAGGCGGTGTTAAAGAGCCCATCGTAGAAAATGATCTTCGAGATTATTTTTCTAAATATGGCACAATCGTTAATGCAACTGTTACGAAAGATCGCGATGGTCAATATCGTGGGTAAGCATTGATTCAAACGATAGAATACGTGTGTAAAATTAATCATTTTCTTTTAGTTATGGTTTTATTGAATTTGACGAGTAAGCTACTGTTACCTTCTTGGAAAGTAAACTAATGATTTTGATCTAAAAAAATAGTTATGATCCTGTGGATAAAATCATCATTGAAAAAAATCATTTTCTATGTGGACTTCAATTAGATGTGCAAAAGGCTCAATCGAAAGACAATTCACAACGTGGTGGCGGTGGTAATATGCGATTTCGACAAGGTCCTCCACCGATGGGACGATCGAATTATGGTGGTGGCGGTGGCGGTGGTGGTGGTGGTGGTTATAATAATCGCCAACAGAATACATTTGATGGTCCATATGGACGACAGCCGAACTATAATGATTATAATTCAAATTTCAATCAAGGTGATAATAATCGAGCTTCATTTGGTCAAGGGTAAGTTTCGAAGAAAAAAATAATGCCGCGAATTTTTCATACTTCAAAATCGTTTAGATATAATCAAGAAAGTGCTGGTGGGCCCATGCGACGTGGAAATATGAGAGGTGGTGGTCGTGGTTTTTCACCATATAATGGTCGTGGTGGAGGTCGCGGTGGCGGTGGTGGTGATCAAGGTCCATCATGGTCTTCATGGGATTGAAATTGAGATTGAACTCTTTTTGTATATAGATGTTCTACGAAAAAAAATACACTTTTCTTGTCTTACTATTTGTTATGTTTAACTCTGCATGTACATATTGACACTTTGGATTCTATGAAAGAAAATTACCAAAAAAAAGTGTGCAAAAATACAATTCTTGTAGATGGAAAAACATCTAGACGATCTTCAACAACGTTTACATTCGACCATAAATAATCTATGGTGTAGGACTCTTGGAAATGAAATAAATCGTCTATCATCAAGTCTATCCAATAAATTGCCTCTCTATCGAACAGGTTTAACACGTGAACAATTGATGACGTCAATAAAATTGATTCAAGACTTGAATATAACCTCAACACATAACGATTTATACTATAGTAGTTTAAAGAATTATCTTTTATTTCTATCGATTCATACACATAAACTTGTTTGTGAAATACTTCTGGGTCATGTTTATCATTTAAAACAACATCTCCATTATTGGAAACACGATGAACCAAGTAGATTAGCTATAATAGATCAAATAAAAACAACATTTTGGTTTGATCAAGATCGCGATGATATACGTTCGACGGAAAAAGTGAAATTTTTAAATCAACAAGAACAATTTTTATCGAATATTATCGGTCGTTTAGCTTATACAATAACTAGTTTAGAGCAACAAGAAGAAATCAGTCTTGATTCAGTCATGAATTATACTAATGAACTTTATAAATTGTTATTTGATAACGCATCAGTGGATTATAATTCTCATAGTGATTTAGTCGATGTTATTGAAGTTTATTCGCAAATGTTAAATTCATTTGATGAATTTAAATCGCGATGGGCTAATTTAATGCACTTATATAATAGACCAACACATATTAAACGTTATCTTCCGTATTACGTATGCGCTACTTCAATAGGACTTTATACAGTATATAAAGTTTATACGAATAGAGAACAAATAATAAATTATATTTATACATCTTATGATTCATTAACATTTTTTGTTAATGAACATTTAATAGCACCATTAAAAACGATTTACAAGTCGACCTTTGAATCGCGTGCATCACAAACGGCTTTTGAAAATTCACAATTGAATTATATAAATTCGAAAAAGATTCTCGAAGAAATGCTAGAAGAATACGGACGTGAACATGCGGGTACATTATCACAAGTTAATAACGCTAGTCTACAAGAATTTTTATCGACATTAAATGAACGTGCTCGAAATGAAGATATGAATATTGTTATGAAGAATTATCAGCTCGAAATGAATCAACCAATCAGATCTGCTCTTTTAGGAGATTTAATTAAAGGTAGATTTTCAATAAATGCCTACTGAAATAATCGTTTCGTTTAGGCATATTGATTCAAGTTCAAAAAGTAAAAGTCGATGGCGAAGGTTTAGTCATTCAAATCGATCAATTGATGAAACAAAATGAAATTAATTTTAGTTTACTCGCCACCATCCCTGCGATATTATTAATTACATTTTTAATTATTTCAACAAAAAATGTTATTTCTAATTTTCTAATTAAACAACGAAAATTCGATATATCAACACTACGTCTACGAATAATAAGAAAGATGCGAGAAATAGAACATGTGCTTATATTTAATATTGAAACACCAGCGTTGACAATGAATAATAATGAAATAATTGTAACCGAAAAAGAACATAACGAAAATCATAATCATCTCGAGGTAATGACAAATTTAACATATGGGCGTTTTCTTTCGCTAGTTTATGAATTAAAATATTTCACCAATCAAATTAAATCACAACGTATGCTTTCAAACGAATTTAATGAAGATATTAATTTATTAACACATACACAATTATCAGTACAACAAAAAATTTTGATCATTCAACAAATCTGTCACTCGTATTCGTTTCTTGTTCATTCTTAGTAATTTTTTAAAGGTGCCTTTTAGACTTGTTTTTCCCATTGTAGTCCGAGTGTTCATTGGTGAAAAGTTATAATAAAAAAAAAATATTGATTTAAAAACAACTAGAAAAGTATTATAATAGAAAATTCGAGCTCTCTACTATACTTTTCTCAGTAATTTTATCTCTTCAGACACTTACACATGTACTCTTTCAGTGCATAATCTGGTGAGAGTACTTAACCTAATAGAATTTTTTGTTAAATAGAAAAACTACAGATAGCTCTTTTTACCTTGTATGCATCATTTTGTTTTTAAGACACTTTGCATATTTTTTTCGCTTTGTCAAATAGATGGCAAAATGGCGCAGGTGATGAATTAAATGAGTCATATCAAAATGAAACTATTTAAATCGTTGAAGTTTGAAATAGTTTCTTAAAAGCATACTATTTGAAAAGACATGATCAAAATAGCAACATTTGTCTGTTGGCTCGCCACTTTTTTTGTGATTAATATCAATGCTGAACCCTACTTAATATTTCCTCAGCATATGCTACCACCTATTGGTCATACTTATAATGTTAGCTTTACCGGTACTGCCGTTACGACTCCTGTAGCTGGCGTTTATTCTATACAAGCTGTTACGGCTAATAACCAAGAAACAATAATAGGCTATCGACTTTGGGAAGGATATACTAGAGATACTCGTGAAATACTTTACACAGTATCATATTCAAATGGTACAAGTTTTCAAGCTGGAGTAGATCCTGATACGGGAAAATGTTTCGCCGCTGAACGCCTAGACGTAAATTGTACAGGCTGGTCAAGTACCGATGTCCTCAAATGGAATAATAAGTGTTTAGAGAAGTCAAAACAAGAGCCCAAGAGCAGTACAAAAATGATTGTTCAAGCAGATACTTCTAATTTAAGACGTCCAATTGGTTTGAATCTAACAATAACAATCGAGGGTACTCCTATTCCATTATTCTCAACTTTTCAGTTTTCATCAGAAACTAAGGGAAAACATTTTCCTCATGTTAAATGTAATTTTTAACAAGCATAGCAAATAAAGAAGCTTGCTAGCTTAGTCTCTTTGAGGTTGAAATACGAAATTCACATATTTACATGTAGCTCAAACATATTTAATATTAGTTGTTGAGCCGTATGATGAGGTGGTAAAGAATGAAAACTCAAGAGAGTGTGGATAAAAGTAAAACGCAGCCACATCCTTTTCGGATATATGGTACTGTATCAATTGTACTGCATTCAAATCAATAAGACCTAACTGATCTGTTCAGTAATGACATTAAACTCGAAATCGCTCAATAGATGAAGATAGAATCAAACTAACTTGTTTCGATTCTGTAATTTATTTTAAAAGATGCCTGTAGAATAGAGTTGGTATTTTCAACGTCAGTTAATTATGTGATCGAAAATAGCGTGGTTGACTACGAAAAGTGTTTCCTTTATATCCTGCAACTTTATCGATAATTTAGTCGAATTATTCAAGAAGTTCTGGTATTCTATACAAATTCTACAAAGCAGGTCGAGAAAAATAGTGCTTGCTAATGTCTCTGGCTAAATCAAGCGCTGGATAGATATGTCTGGTTTACTTTTAGTTAAATTTATGGTTGAATGCTGGAATTTTTGTGGCTTCTTCGACTCAATGTCCCGATAAACCGAGACGATTTCTATCTAAGCTTTCAGTATTCTAGTTACTTCAACTTATCTAGTTTTTTCTATCCAATGCTAGATTTGAAGATCACATGCACAATGTCTTACCAGTTTGACAAAGACAATAGACAGTCTTGCAATTTTTATTTACTAAAAGCTTTTATAGCAACTAGTTATTGACATTTGAATTTTACAAAACATTAAAAGCGACAGTCCTCGAGCTGCAGTGGTTTCGTAGTTTTATTATGTTTATACATTTCAAATAGCTGCGAATTTGTGCGACAATGTTTTTATCGACAGCACGAAAAATTCGCAGTAAGAACGAAATAGACGAGACAAAAAGGAATCTTTTATCTTATCAATTACATCATTCCCTTTGCTTGCATCAGAAAACGCTTGTAACAATGATATCAACAGTTTGAAATCTTATGGATGTAGTATGCTTTATCGCCACTGCAAGAACACGACAATACTTACAACACTATCAAAGTTTGCTCTCTCTATATTTCTTCCTCCGAAGCGTCGAAGAAAAATAAATAATGATGCTATTTACTGGTAAGGAACATTATCATCTCCAACAAGGATACCATATTTCGTTACTTTTATTCAGATTAAAATGGAATCTTGCACACAGTACCGAATATCAGATATAACTTTCGAAGTGTGCGATGGAACCTTTAATCGATTAGTATTCAGAAAAAACCCGGCCACTCAAGAATAAGTATAACCAACATGACTGATTCGAGTTTGTTACCCGTGCAATATATAACACTTTTCTATGCTGCACCACATATAATCCGATACAATTCGTTATGTTCACTAATAAAAGGATATACCTTCGTTTAGTTCACATTTTATGTGTACAGATAGTTTAGCTAGCTCATTAAACAAATTAAGAGGTTAACATAGAGCTTTCGATAGGACAGAAGTTGCTTCATGAATTTCTAGTCAACGAAGAAAAGCAGTGTACTTCCCAAAAAATTCTTTTTTTGATCATTTATTTATTAAATAAACGCCATCGATCAATCGATGAAAATAATTACTTGATAATAAGACAGTGACTTTTTCTGATTTAACTGCATAGTGACATACCACCTCTCTTTTGCTTCAGATCCTTCAGCAACAAAAGTTTAATATCTCAATAACTGTTGTTTTATAATATTGAGCTGGAGTTTGACTACACAATTTGAATCAGTAGTAAAAGTACTAGAGCGCAGGTCTACATAGATAGTATTTTAAGCGATGACGATGATAAATAGATCATGTGAACGTTCAGCTCAAGAACCTAGATGTGAGAACATAGCCTATCTAACTAGTTTTTAATCCAAGCAAAATATTTTCTGTTGATTCAAAAGATCTTTTCTCGAGACAGTAACATTTTTCAGATTGAGTTTATTTTTGAGTATGGCTACATCAGCCAGTGCAACTCCAACTAAAGCAAAGCGTAAATTGGCGCTAGTGATGGGAATCGGCAAATACCAAAATATCGTTGCATTATCCAATCCAGAAAATGATGCCGACGATATGACATCTGAACTCAAAAGCATTGGTTTTACTGTTACGAAGGCATTACATTTAACACGTGATAGCATGGACAGCGTTCTGGAGGAATTCAAAAAGTCGATTCAACAAAGTGATATGGTCTTATTTTATTTCGCAGGGCATGGAGTACAATGGAAAGTATGTATCGGCGTTTAAAATGTGAAGCTAGTTCGTTTGGTGATTCGAAAGTTTAAAATTTTATTGTAGGAACAAAACTATTTGTTACCAGCAGATATTCCAAATGTGTCTGGGATTGATTTGAACGAAAAAGCAATTAATGCGCAGCGTTTTCTGGATGATTTGAACGATAGAAAACCATTTGTAACAATCTTTCTGTTAGACTGCTGTAGGACGTCTTACCACACTACATTCCAAATAGATGTTCAGAATGCGAAAACTGAAGAATCTAAATTAGCTGGTTTTAAGGAAATGCAGGGAGCTGGCGCATTGATTGCATTTGCTTGTGCTCCAGGGATTCCAGCTATAGATACAGCAACTGGACAAGTGCAACGAAATGGTCTATTTACAAAATATTTGTTGCGGCACATTAAAACTCCAAATGAAGACATTCGAATGATATTATCTGTTGTAAGGAAGGAAGTTCGACAGGACTCAAAATCAAGACAGATTCCCTTCGTTAGCGACGGATTATTAGAGAAGAATATATATCTGTGTGATCAGCCACGGCGTAAGTAATAGATTTGTAGTGTTGCTTGTTTGATTTCTTGAGAATATCGTATTTTGGTGTCAGGACCAACAAATGTTCACAACTAACTCAGAGCTACTGTAAAGAATGATGAGAAGAAATGTCAATTCATGTTCATTGTTCAAATGACGAATTAAGTCACAAAAATACTTTCAGTATTTTCCTTTTTCCCTACGCAAAACTTGATACCCTCCGTGTATAACTTTTATTAGCTTGATACAAAAATAAGGAAAAAAGTTCTATTTTTTGCTGATGTGATGGATTTTAATTTTCATGAATTCGATAAATCCACAGAAAGAATATTACCGAATATTTTCACTGGTTTTGAATCGTTTGAATCTGTTACTGTTGAAACAGTATCTTTGAACTTTCTTTTATCTGTATCATCAAATGATCAATGTTTTGATAATTCTTCTATGAATGTATCCACTTGAACATCAACTTGTTCATTTACTGTGCCGACAAATTCCACTGAAATAGTTTAAAATACATATTCATTTTTTGCATTCATTTTTTATGATAGCTGTCATCAAATGTTCTAATGATTGCTTTGATGACGCTGCACTTTGGTGCACAAAGTGCGAGAGTGATCTTTGCTCGAAGTGTAGCAAAAGCAGCCATTCACAACCAACTTTTCGCAAGCATCAAATGATACCCATTGGACAAAAGCCTTGGCAGCCAATGTTATGTCAGGCACACCCAGGCGAGAAACTGAATTATTGGTGCTGTGATTGTGATGAAGTAGTCTGTCACGGCTGCGTGTTTGACAAACACCGTGCACACACAGTTAGAGCCGTAACTGACGTTGTGAAAGATGTAGAAAACGAAGTCAGTATTCAATTTTCTGCCTATTTCTTTGAATAAAACATATTTTTATGGAGTTTAGATGAGAGAGATATTTGAAGGAGTATGGTCACCATTAAAAGAAGCTTCAAAAACAGCACAATCGATGATCAATTCGATTGTAAACGTTAAGAATGATAGAATTATTGACGCTTTTGCGTCACTACGCATATCAATCGATAAGTATGAAAAAAGATTACTACATCGAATCGATGAGATCAACACAAACAGAAAGAAACTGCTTGAAGATTATGAAGACGACGTAATGTGCGAGAAGAAGAAACTTGCTAAGTCTGAAAAAGAGTTCGACGACAATCTTTTGAACAATAACTATGATGTAATATTGAAAGTAAAGAAAAGTTGGATCGATATTATCAAGAAAATTGCCCAAGATGTAGGAAAATTGAAACCACCTACCACAGTCGAGTACAATATTGAAGGCATCGATCAATTATCAACGGATATGGATAGGATTCTCAATTCTGTGTGGATCGTTCAAAGAAAAGGTAAATTGTCTGCCAGCATCTATATACGTACACAAGTGATTTCACTGCTTTCTGAGTTTGCATCAAACACTTTTATTCGCTCCTCAAATCTTTTGCAAAGGACGAGGGACGTTTTGGGGTCATTTCGGTCCAATTTGAAAAATACTTCGGTTTAGTCTGAAGGTTTCTCTATACCGTTTCTAAAAATTTCAGCTTCATCAACTGTGTATTTGAGATGTGCAGGATAAGGTTTTCTCTTACCCTATACTCTAATAAAGGAATTTTCGTTTACCCTTATCCTACCCTGACCCTACCCTACCCTGTAAAACTTTTATATTCCTTACCCTTACCCTGCAAAATCCGTAGAACTGAAGAAAGAAATACTAAAATACCATAAACTATTCATTTATCTCATTACAAATAATCTACAAAACATTGCAATAAATCTTTTTAAAATTTCTAATAAACAAGATATCGTCCACAATATCGTCACCTATGTTTTGGCATCGCTTTTCGAGGATTCTTCCAGTGATACTGAATATTCTTTCGCTTGTGCATGAACTAGCTGGTATACCTAGTAATGATCCTACTAAAACACTTAGCGTCGGATAATTTATACTCCACTTCTTCCACCATTGTAATACATATTCTTCATTACTAATAACTAATTTTGCTTTAGCATAGCGTTCAATTTCATCTTCATCATCTTCACTTGAATCATCTTGGCTTGCTACCCAGGTCGACTGATTCGGCATCGGATCCGATAGGAACCTGGAAATATCCTACAATCCGATACAACTCTATTGGATTCCGGGTCGAGGAATCGATGTCGGATCCTCAGTGTCGGAATCCTATGAACTTCCGATGACATGCAACGGTTTTTCCTTGGAATTGATAGGAATCCGACACTGAGGATCCGGCATCGATTCCTCGACCCGAAATTCAACGATAATTCTGTAAGATCTTGCGGGATCCGAGAAAATCCTATTGGATTCCAGTCGGATCGGATGGGCTCCGATAGGTGCCTACTGTCGGATTGCTCCACCTGGGAATTCACAAGAAAAGAAGAAACATATATAAGTGATTACTGTACCAAAGAAGCTCTTTTTTTCTTTCAATGGTAGGTGAAGGTTTCCAATATTTTAATCTAATGAGCATATACCAATCATTTGCTTGCATATATAATTTTTCGTGAATGATGGACTTCGATATTGTTAGATCAGACAAATAATATACAGTGGCTCCCAAAATTATCCAACAAGCAGTCGCATGTTTTTTTCTCGCTTTATATCTCGGACATAACAAAAGATAGAGAGCTCGGGTTTTCACCAACTT